GTTTGTGAGCCCAGAATATTTTGTGTTGCTTTTGCTTCTTTTGAATTTGTTCAGTTCTATTCAGAACTTCAGGTGTTCAATCTTTCAACGTTTTTAGTAGTAGTGCGTTAGAACGGTAGATATCTTGTAATAAATGTCCTTCTATATATAGTAAGAACAAAATGACTGTTGCTGCCTTTAAAAAGTGGAGAGCATTAAATGTCTGCGTGTTTCCTTGTACTATTCCATTTTCCAAGAAACTAGCGTAGACACTTGAGTGCTTGCAGCCGTCTTTGCATTAATGAGCAAACGACACTTGTAAGAACATGTTTCCTGAAGCTTGACAAGAAAAGTTGGCTTTTAAATTCTTTCAGAACTTGCTTCAACGTCTTGTATTCAGAACGAGATTGCTTAACTTCTAAACAATGCTTTGCTTGCTAAGAACTAGATCAGCGCTTGCTTTCAACTAAACTTCTGAGCATCACTTGCTTTCAAGTAATCTTCTGAACAAGGAATCCTGCTAAGTGTTAGAAGATGAATTTAAAAATAATTGTCTTACCAGAGTCAGCAACAGCAGTTGCGCTTAAAGAAAATAGTTCTTTCATCAAAGAACTTCTTCATTAATTTTTAGCTCAACACATCAAAATGCTTCTGTCAGAACATTATCTGAAACATTCAAATACGTTCATCAGAGTATAAATTATCTAAAATATAATTTATTGTTATCATCAAAACTCTGAGATAGATCAGAACTAATCTTGTTCTAAGAGCAGCCTTGGAGAAGGCATCTCTGAATGCATGTAACATTATTGGACATGAAGGGAGGCGCCATTGGACTTGGAGAAACAGTACAAAAATGAAAGGTGTCGCCATCCCCGTTGGCGAATAAGAGGTGGCATGGGTTGCAGAGTAGGCGCAGGCTAGGTGACAGCCTTGGAGAAGGCATCTCTGAATGCATGTAACACGATTGGACATGAAGGGAGGCGCCATTGGACTTGGTGAAAGAGTACAAAAATGAAAGGTATCGCCATCCCCGTTGGCGAATAAGAAGTGGCATGGGTTACAAAGTAGGCGCAGGCTAGGTGACAGCCTTGGAGAAGGCATCTCTGAATGCATGTAACATTATTGGACGTGATGGGAGGCGCCTTAGAGGTTACAGTGTAGGTGCAGTGTAGGCGCAGGCTAGGTGGCAGCCTGGGAGAAGGCATCTCTTAATGCATGTAAAACTATTGGACAACCTTGGTTAATTCAAATTCAGTATGACCTATTTAGCCTTACATTTATCAAAACACTGATACACTTAATCTCTCAAACACTAGAACATTCAAAAATTCCAGCAAATAACTCATAAACTTCAAACCTTCCAACCTTCAAACCTTCAAACAGTTATACACAATGGCCTCTGCACCCCAATATGTGATCAGTGCACATTTCAAAAGTGAGACATACTTTTGTCCCACCTCTGGGTTTTTGTTTAGAGACACAGAGAACATCTGATTTTGTTTAAACAGGAAAGTCAATTTCTTGTACTTCAAAAAACGATTGGAGGTCAAACTTGGACGAGGCCCCGTGACACAAATATTCTATCAGAATCCGGTTTTTTTGGTAACAACCAAATAATATTTTATAAGGTTGAGGTTTAAGATGACGAGGATCTTCAGAATATGTTTTCCAGTCATGAGTATTCTGGGTACGACTCTATTGAGTTGTACATTATGCTGCGAGAGCCTCAGCTGTCACAAGTGGTTGATCCTTTGGAGATTGAACAAACAGAAGTAGATGCAGTTGATGAAGAAGAAGAAGATGACAAGTTGGAGTTTGACGAAATGGTCAATGATGATTCCGAAGACGATGGGATACCTGGTATTCCTACAAACAAGATCTACACACCACCTCCACACATGACAAACTTCAACATGGGCGGAGATGAACTGTCTTCTGATTTATTTTTCAATCTGTATATGCAGTCGGATGAAAACTTAAAAGAGAAAGACAAATTTCGTAACAGATAAGAATGTATCAGAGCCATCAAAAAATTCCACATGCTCAACTCGATCGATTTTAAGGTGGACCGTGTAAATCCAGAAAGGTACAAGATCAAGTGTGTCCACCCTGATTGTATGTTCAAGCTCACTGCATCATACAGATTAAGAGGTGATTGTTGGGTCATAGGTTCCATGTCTACCCACACTTGTGTCAGTTCTACTCAATCACAGGATCATCGAAAACTTAATTATGATCTCATTTGTCAAGAAATCCTACCACTCATCAGCAACGATCCATCATTGAAGGTGAAAACCATAATCTCCTACATCACTACAGTATTTAACTATACCCCGTCTTACCGAAAGGCGTGGTTAGCAAAGACCAAGGCGATTGAAAAGGTATATGGAAACTGGGAGGAGTCATACCAAGAACTTCCTCGCTACCTGAATGCACTCCAGACTTATTCTCCGGGTACTGTTTACATTTTGGAAACAGTGCCATCATACGCCCCGGATGGTAGTTAACTCAACAGAAATGGAATATTCAGTCGAGTGTTTTGGGCTTTTCAACCTTGCATCACAGGGTTTGCGTCATGCAAACCAATTATACAAATTGATGGGACTTAGTTGTATGGGAAATACAAAGGCACGCTACTGATGGCAGTTGCACAAGATGGCAACATCAACATTTTCCCAATCGCCTTTGCCCTGGTCGAGGGGGAGACTGGTGGTGCTTAGAGCTTTTTTCTCAAAAATCTGTGAACACACGTGGCTCCTCAACCAAATCTCTATTTGATATCGGATAGACATGCATCCATTGAAAGTGCATACAATAATCCTGCAAACGGTTGGCATGACCCTCCTTCTACGCATGTCTATTGCGTTAGACATATCGTCCAAAATTTCACGAGGGAGATCAAAGACAAAACACTTAGGAAAGCGGTTATGAATGCGGGATATGCATTGACACAACCCACGTTCAAATATTATCACAACGAGATCCGTTTTTCAAATCCAGAAGTCGGTAGGTGGATCGACAATATTCCAGTTGAAAAATGGACTAGGTCATACGATAATGGCCAAAGATGGGGCCACATGACAACAAATCTAATTGAATCGATGAATGGGGTATTCAAAGGCATACAAAACCTCCCGGTCACTGCTTTAGTTAAATCAACATATTTTAGGATGGCTTCGTTGTTTGCCAAAAAAGATGAAATATGGAATGCGGTGTTGCAATCTGGTCAACTATGGAGTGAAAGCTGCATGAAGTACATTAAGGCAGAAAGTGCCAAAGCCAAGACCCATATGATTATACGATTTGACCGACACAGCCACAACTTCATTGTCAAAGAGACAATCAACCACAACGAGGGCCTGTCAAGACAAGAATATAGGATTGTACTACCTTCTCGTTGGTGCGATTGTGGCAAGTTTCAAGCCTTTTGTATGCCTTACTCTCATGTCATTGCCGCGTGTGCCTATACTCATCAAGACGCGCTACAACTTCTGTCACACATTTACAAATCTGAAACGTTGCTCAACGTTTACAACAACAGCTTCCCTTTGGTAGCAAAACCAGACTATTGGCCTGCATACGATGGCGAAATAGTATGGCACAATGACCAAATGCGAAGGAATAAAAAGAGTCGTCCCAAAAGTAAGCGCATTACAACCGAAATGGACTCCATTGGCAAGCTGGAAAGAAAGTATGGTTTATGTCGTCAGGTCGGACACAATCGCAAAAATTGTCTGAATCGGGCTACTGCCTCAACCAATAAAAATTGTATTACAAAAAATCTTTCGTTTATTATGTTGTAAACATTAGGGTTTTTCGTTAACAGAATTTATTACAATAAACATTGCGCGAACAAGAAAAAAAACACGATAAATCGTCTACGAAATTACAACCGTTAGAACAATTTCATCTGACCCATGCATCATCAACATTACGTCGCTGTCTGTTTTGACTTCCTCCAACCAAACATTAGGTCTTCTTGTCGCAAGTGAGGTTGTTGTTCGTCTTTGCTGAATCCTTCTAATTTCCCTCCTCCACGATGTCTCCATCTAGTCATCGCATCAACTCCTGCTTCAGATGCTCCATGGAGTGAATGTGTCAGAATTTCATTTTCATCGGAGGTTTTGTGACGGAGAAGATGACGTAACCATCTCTGGTAAAAATCATGGGCGATGTCATGATGCAAATAACATAGTAAAAAATAACAAAACAGTGCGAGAAAGTGTGAGAAATGACGGAGAAACGGACAAATTATTTATAAAAACAACATTTTGCCTTAGGAGCCAAGTGAGATGGCGTCTCCTCTCACTTTTAAAGTGCATGCGCCATCTCACTTGGCTAAAAGAGAGAGGAGGCGCCAAGGGAGATGACGCCTAGGGCATAATGCTGAATGGAGGCACCAAGTGAGATGACTCCTCTCTTGATCCGTCTTCTGAAATATGATTATTTACGTAATTTTTTCTGAAACATAATTATTTACGATTTTTTTTTTAATACATGATTATTCCAAAAAAAAAATTCACGTCCCGCTATATTAAATTCTATCAATTCAAACCTAACTTTAAAAATATAGCATAAATTATAAGAGCGGAATTATTAGCATTTTAAATTTACGTAGAGGTGCCTATTGAATTTTATGCGTGACATGTTGAATTCTCTAGTACTATTTGATATGTACTTGACCTTTATCTTATTCCATAACCTTCCATTTTCTTGATTTTTGCTTAATCCATAACCTTGTTTTAATGATAATCTTCCCAATAATTAACATACACCTAAACTAAAATGACCAATGTCTTTCACTAAAATCTTTTTCAGTGATCTATATTTTACCCCATGTGAAACGATACCGACACAGAAGCTTTGGCTTTCAAAATTCAAACTGTAGTATCTCAAAACCAACAACAAAGAAAAGCAGATAGCAGCAGCACTCTGTCCCATTTCAAATAATCAAACCGTGACCCATAAACCACAATCCATCACTTTCATTTCTCACTTTGTTTCATTTCTCCCCAGAAATGTCACTTACTTCCCTCTTCACAACAACACTAACCTTCTTCCTATTCATCACAAAAGCAACCTCTCACTCCTCCTCCTCATCTTCTCAACAAACTTCCCCATCTTTCACCGAATGGAGATCCGCACGCGCTACCTACTACGCCGCCGCCGATCTACGTGACACAGTCGGCGGCGCGTGCGGCTACGGCGACCTTACAAAAGCCGGTTACGGTATGGCTACTGTAGGTCTTAGCGAAGCTTTGTTCGAACGAGGTCAGATCTGCGGCGCGTGCTTTGAATTACGGTGTGTCGAGGATTTGCGGTGGTGTATTCCTGGAACTTCGATTATCGTTACTGCAACTAACTTCTGTGCGCCGAATTATGGATTCACGACGGATGGAGGTGGACATTGTAATCCGCCTAATAAGCATTTTGTACTTCCTATTGATGCTTTTGAGAAGATCGCTATATGGAAAGCTGGTAACATGCCTCTTCAGTATCGGAGGTATGCTAAATTTGTAACTACTCTTGCATTTTTGGAAACTGCTATTATCTTAGCTTATTGAATTGTAAATGACACTGTGTTTGGTTTTGATTGTGTTTTTGAGAGTGTTATTCTGAATTGATTTGGTTTTTTTTAAGTTAATACAATTTTTTGAAATGCATGTGGCTTTTTTACTTGAATTTTAGTTTGAAATTGAGTCCAGTCTAATGTTTCGGGCTTGACTTGTTTATGAATTGATTGTTTTTGTTTGTTTTTTTTTTTCAATGGAAATTTTTTAAAATTTATGGAACATTTTGATGTTTAAAGATGAAACTAAGGCTATGTTTGGATATTATAAAATGAATGGAGAGGAGTGGAATGAAGATTTCATTCTATTGTTTAAAATTTGTAGGATGGAACGAGACAAATTCTTTCATTCCGCCCAAATGGGAGGGGAAGAAATATGGTGGTAAGGGATTGAATGATTTAAAAAATGGAATATCATATCATTTCATCTCATACCGCTATGCTCCATCTTATTTCGTCAATCCAAACAAAGCTTAAACGAGTTAGAGGAAAAGAGAGAAAGAGTCTTTTAGGTAGTTTTGATATTCTAGATAAAATTACAATATACAGAGGTTGTTTGTTGTAATTATATGTAGTTTGAAGCGAAATATTTGAAATCTGGAATGCTAGTTCAATTAATAAGGATAAAGGCTAAATCATTCTACAACTTGGGTCCTCTACCACTGTTTAGCAAAAAATTTGTATTTGGATTTGAGCTGCAGTTCAGTCAGACGGTCGAGACTTGATTGGGCTGGCTGCAAAGGATTCTGGTTGTACCATTGTAAGCACTTAGCAAGTTAGCAAATTTCACAAGAGTTTTGGATGTCTAATCCATATCCCAAGTTTTATGGAGTTTGTGTTTTGACATTGTCTTCTTAATTGGTGCACAATTTGGTTACATCATGTGGCTGTAGTTTAGTGGTAAGAATTCCACGTTGTGGCCGTGGAGACCTGGGCTCGAATCCCAGCAGCCACATCTTTATTTTTTTGCACGTATTGACCTTAAGAAAATTATGATTACAGTAAGTTTATTTATCTCGTAAGAGCTTAAAGACAATATTTTTCTCCATTATGAATATGACTAAATGACAGTTAATCAGACTAATGACATGCTACTCTCTTAACATTCTTGGATACACAGAGAATAATTAGTATTGTCATCTCTTCATGCAATGTTAGTGCTGAAACATCTCTAGTAAATCCCTGTAGATTAGGTAGCAATATCTAATTTAGCAATATCTAATTTTGCTTGTAAGTACATTAGAGCTGGGTATACATGTAGCTCGCCTGTTTAGGCCAGTGGACTAAATGGACTGTGCCGGAGAAGGCTGCAAAATAAACTGTCCAAAAAAATATGTACATGTCTGCACCATTTAAACTGCGGGACAAGTAGCTAATAAAGGAATTTGTGGATAAGAAGATAAATACACCTTCAAAAATCATTATTACCATTTACTTTTCAAAAGACAAACTAACAAATTGTACTTGGGTCAGGGTGTAGTAAGAAATTCAAGTATTTATTTTGAATGTTATATTCTGTTTGGAGCAGGATAAAGTGCAGAAGAGAAGGTGGAGTTCGATTTACAGTCACTGGTTCTGGTATCTTCATTTCAGTACTGATCAGCAATGTTGCTGGCCATGGAGACATAGTTGAGGTGAAGGTTAAGGGCTCAAGAACAGGATGGCTTTCAATGGGTCGGAACTGGGGCCAAAACTGGCATATAAACGCGTTACTACAAAATCAACCCCTTTCATTTGAGGTTACGAGTAGTGATGGGAAAACAGTTACAGCTTACAATGTTGCTCCCAAGGATTGGAGTTTTGGACAAACCTTTGAAGGAAAGCAATTTGATTATTAAAGCCAAATGAAGAAAACTTGTTTCAAGTAACAAGTATTCTTCCCATTTCCGAATGTTTTACCCTTTTATTATAGAAGGTCTACTTACTGGTGCTCCTTTACATTTTAATTCTTTTGGTTTTGTAGAAGGTAGATAGTAAATTGATTTGGTGGTTTGTAATATTGTCAATGTGATGGTGTAACTTTCCATCTATATTATCTTAGGAGTTTATTGTATGAAAATATACATTGTTGGTCAACAACAAAGAGGAATTATTATGTAAATGATCGAGGCTTTTATTAGGATGTGTGATACTCTTAACTTCATTTACAAGTTATCTTAAACAGCACTACATGATCCATTTCCTCTTACCTTCAATAGACGCATATAACCAAAATATTTAGTTTTTTTTTAACACTGAGATAGAGGACTATTCAGAGCACTAAATCACTCTCTAGTTGTACTGTTCCTCTCACAACTGTCTCCACTCTTATCTGAAACTGAGTAAGCTTCCACTTGCTACACTTCATTTTCTTTTGGGAAACATCATGACAACTTCTTGAATACCTTTTATATACATAAAGATTCTTTTTGTGGCAATCAATATGAGATCCCATATTCAAAAAGGATCACTGGGGAATTTGCTCACCAATCCAACATCAAATGTAATATCTGATTTTCTATTATAAACTTAAAGATCCCACAAATTTATTTAAACAAAATAGCACCTACATATTTTTCTTCTTCTCCTTTTGCCAACTTCTGGTTTCCTGCTACACTTGCTAATGCAGGATTGCAATTGTCCATGTAAAATCTCTTAGTTACTTCACCAATGTATTTTCTTTGATGCAGTACTATACCCCTCTTTATAGGCGAATTCAAAACTAATCAACTCAGTCCGTACACTTTTCATTCTTCATTTTTTATTTTCAAATCCCTGTGGATGTAGCACACTCTTCGTCCAATGGATCATTCAAGAAAGCACACTCTTCGTCCAATGGATCATTCAAGAAAGCCGATTTAAGATACTTCAAGGGTGAACATTTTTAAATTCTCAAAACCCTTGAAACAAATATCAAGTATGTCAAGTTAATGAAAAGAAGATATATCTATAAAAGTATAGACCAGTTAGGGATGTAAATAGATATTCAAGGGACCGATAGCATGATATCCGTGTCCGTCCCATTAGATAAATATGATATTCATATTTGTTTCATATACATGCGGATATATGTTAAACGAGTAATCCGCAAATTTTAAGATATCCGCAAATATTTACAAATATCTATGGATAATATTTTTTTTTAAATTATGTCTTGAAAAAATATTTACCGCTTCTTTTAAAGACATAAGAAGTTATTTTCACATAATATTCATAAAAATATCTCTTATTTTAACAATAAAATTCCATCACATTAATTTTTTTCATTTTCACCAAAGTATAATATTCATACATTTCATTTTTAATCAAATAAATTAAAAGATATTGTGATTGAGTTATGGTGGAAGAGAGGTCAATGGAAGAGTAGAAAGAATGACGCCAACTGAACATAGAAATAACGATATCGATTGGTTGGACGATAGAACTATTGAAGTGAAATATAAAATATGAATTTGTTTAGAATATAAATATTTTTTTTTCAAAGAAAACTTAAAAAAATATATTAGGAGATTATTTTGTTAGAAGAAGAAAAGATATTCTCCGTAGTATAATAAACTAATAATATTTAAATAATTTTTATAATTTATTAATAGATATGGCACGGATAACATTAATTCATATTCATATCTATTAATAAATAGATATTTAAATATTCATTTATTTTATCGGTGGAATATCTATTAAATTATCCATCTCGTATCCGTGAATGATTTTATTCGTAAATATCCGTAAATACAATTTTTTTACATCCCTATAAACAATTGCATCGCGGTTATTTAAAGGACTTTACCAATAAAAAAAAACAAATGATTTAGGTCTATTCACTTTGTCAGTCACCATTAGAAGATTAAACATTAGAAAGTGCTTAGCGATCGCTTAGCAAATGAAATCATAATGAAAATTTATAAATAGAGGTTTGAGTTGTCAAAATGAAGATACTTTTGTGTTTTAGTTATAGTTTTATTAGTAGAAACACCAATGAGAGAGATTTGAGTGGTTCACATGCCAAATGCGGATCAAATTGCATTTCAGCCGAGGATTGAGAGATTGGTCAGCTGAGGATCGAGAGATTGGTCAATGTCGTTCTACTTCTAATGCTTGTATATTACTATTGTCACTAGTAGTTAAGTTTTCTTTTGTTGTTGTTAAATTTGTCTTACATTATAATTATAATATATCCTGGGAATATTTTTATGCACTCTTACACTTTCTTAGATTTGAAATGAAATTTCTCAAATGCTTCTAAATTTTGAATATATATATATATATATATATATATATATATATATATATATATATATATATATATATATATATATATATATATATATATATATATATATATATATATATATATATATATATATATATATATATGAACGAATCATCTTTTATATTTTGAGGGCCTGATTCGGATATACATATCTGAAACAACCTTTTAATTAACATAAAGGGTGATTTAGATATGTATATCTGAATCGCCCCAATTATAGACACAAACAAAAACTCATTTTCCATCTTTCTCTCACTCTCTCTATTCGAACTCTCTCTTTTCCATATATTTTGAGTAATTTTTGAGCAACAAAGTTCGAAAACAAGTTACATTGTCAATCCATTTCAACACTTCAAAACTCCCAAATTGTATAAGTCTCTCTGAATCTGAAACTTTTGTTATACTTTGCAATTGCAAAAAATATCACTTAAATGATTTAAATTTAGTTGTTTGAAGTTTAATTTGGAAAATGTGATTGTTTGGGTGTGTATTTGAAGTTTTTGGAGCAGTTAGGGTATGAAAAACGCAACTGCTCAAAAATGGCGGTTCGCATGGGTTTTTGGATGTGCATATCTGAAATCTCCTTTGAGATGTTTCGGATATGCACATCTTAATTTAGGCCTGAACTGTTTTTTTTATAATATTTATCCCATATTGCACCTTCGTTGATTAGTTGCTATTGTTTAAGGTTAATGGTTGATATTCTAAACAGAACAAGACTTGGTAGACCTGTGTAGACAGCCTTGGCTCGGTGCGAGAGAGCACTACAATCTACTAAGACTTAAGGACGAGGACGAGTTGTGTGGGAGGATGTGGCGGGAGGATCCACTTCAGCTTCAAGGAGTCGGTTATCTCACGAGTCCTCGTCTCGGGATTACGAGCAGGCACCGAAGGTAGAGGAGGAGGTTGTTCGGGCACAGGAACCCGAAGAGGATGATTCACCGGTTGCAGTGGGTGAGCCAAACCCGGGTATCCGGGAGGGCCCTATGACACCTCCCTTTTGACCTGTTATAATGAACATGTCACCCTACATGTTTGGGAGGGCGAGGAATAGCGTATCATAAAGTATGTGAACCATGCGAGGAAAATATTTGAACTATTTCATCCTGATGAGGATTGGTTCAGAAACACAATTAATGATTCAGGACTATCCAAACTTTATTGTTCCAGTTATGTTACCATTAGCCACATAATGCATGGGGATTTCATCGAGAGGTGGCACAAAGAGACGCCGTCTTTCCACTTCCGGTTGGGGAGATGACAATTACACTCGACAATGTGACATGTCTGCTGCACCTTCCTATCAGAGGGAGGTTACTTAACCATTCAAAGATCACTCATGTTGAAGCGATTGAAATGATGGTTGATTATTTGGGGGTTTCGTTGAATAAGGCATTTGAGCAGCGTGACTCAACTAATGGGGCACATGCTAAGTTCTCTTTCTTGAGCGATACATATGAAGAGCACTTAGTATCCGCTTCAGTTGTCGAGGTCGAGGGAGATGAGTTATTTGTTCAGTACCATCGCGAGTGTGCATTGAGGTGTTTCTTTTTGTTCTTGATTGACAGGTGCATTTTTATGGACAAAAGTGCTACGTAGGTTGATGTGGCACTCCTCAAATACTTTATAGATTTGAACACTATTAATGAGTGGAACTAGGGGTTGTTTGTTTGGTATACATATACCAAAATCTTAATGGCGCTTGTAAATGGAGGACGAGGTAGCTTACAAGCTCTTGCACCCTACTCACGGTACATTTTCATTCCAACTATTACATTTAATTTAATAATAATTTTTTGGCTTAAATGCACTTTTGGTTTCCCTATAATTAGTTTTTTAAAGTTTTAGTCCCCTTTTTAAAAAAACCAGCTATTAGGTCCCCCCTATTTCGTTTTTGGTGAAACTTTGTAGGTCTGTGACCATTTGTCTCATTATTTAATGACATGTCACTCCAATATAAACCCAGTCACATGTCACCTCACTTAAAAATATAATTATTTATTTTTTAATTGTATTTATATTTTTTATTTTTTAAGAAATAAGTTTGGATTAGATATAATAACTCCAACTCATCATCTTCCTCATTCCACCATTGTCGTTACTACATCTTTTTCAAGTGGGAACCCTAAAAATGTTAGCTTTAAGAATCAAAGAAGATCATCAGCAAAATCTACAACTTGCTGCAATGTATCAACCATCACCTTCATTCAAGACGCACGGAGACGGCAAGTTCTGTTTCGGGTATGTATTTCTGTTTTGATGTCTATGCAAGTGGTTCCAAAGTGTCTTGTACTCTAGTTGTTTTCTATGGTCCCAACATTTTTTAACCCTATTTGTTTATCCTAAAAGTTGATTGTGGTCCCAAAGTGTGTCAACCATAATTGTTTAATCTAAAACCCTAACAATAAAATTTGTCGTATACAGGCCGCCTACTGAACATAAAGTTAAGCTCAGAATTCACCATTGGGGCACACTTGTGCATCATCCTGTTAAATGGTATTTGGACAGATTAGTAACAAAAATGACTTGGGGCTGGGATATTGATTATATGTCTTGCATATAGCTGGAGAAATTGATTCATGAGGT